TCGATCTATACAATCCCTCTATAATCATGTTTTGCATATTGTCGTATCTTGTATTCTTTAGGTACCTTCCTTCCCTAGTTGACTTCCCAGCAGGTATTATTCTTTTTAGAGCTTTCAAAATACCTAGCACGATGGTGGCCACTTAATAGGCATGTAGTGAGCTTCTTTCCTTCCATTCTATACCCTTTTATACCCAGCTCAAATTCCTCTCCTTTGAGAGTAGCTCCCAGACTCCCAAGGCAATAATGAGCTCCTTTCTCTTCTCTGAGAGCAACCATACAAGACATCTACGATGGTAACAGCCTTCTTGAGCCCCAGTCTTCTTCTGCTGCTTTCCCATACTAACCATGCATTTCTTAGAAGAATGTGGTTTTGTTTTTTTTTTTTAATCATTGTAACTAAGTCTGATGACTAGCATAGCACACAGAATATGGCAGATGGTTAATGATGAATGAGAGCATGAATGAGGGAATAAATTAAATAATTCATCTACTCCAAAAGTTTTCTTTCTCTTTTTGATTCATAAAAATAAGCAACTTTTTCTATTTTTTTTCCCCTGTTTGATAGGATACTACTTTTAGAAGAATCAGTCCTCAAGACCTGGGTGCTTCAAAATTGGAGACAAGAGGCAATACTTGGAGTACTTTGTGTAACAAATTTTGGAAATACTTGCCCAATGTTATTATTTATAGATTTTTATTGGCCTTTACTGCTATTTTAAGCTCTCTGTCTCTTACATACAGCTTTTGCAAATGATGCAATGTGTTCGCAATAGTTCATGCTGAGAAGCAGGATTCTGGCAGCTTCCCCAATATATTGGGAATTGATGACAGCAGTATACAGCTTGGAATTATTTCTCTGTGCTCCACTGAGCTTTTTCTTCCTTTTATTAATTTTTTTTAAAAAATTTAACTGATACACAAAAATTGTACATTGATGTTTTTCATTTTGGGGGGCTAGATTGAAAGTATGGATGTAACATACCCACTCTAGATAAGGGATTTGGAATTTTTTTTGTCTTATGTGGAAATGAAAACTTAAAATCTTATCCAACTCTGACCTTGATACTTGATGATAACTAAGTCACTAAATATGTCTGCCTTGGGTAACATAAACAAACACTCTATTCCACTTTGTGGCATCTTCAGTCTGCCTGGGTGTTCTGATTAATCTCTGTAATAATCCTGGACATAAGTAATTGGATTATTACGCAGGAAGGCTGGATAATTTTCATATTCTTCATTGTTGTGGTAAATAATAACAGGTTTCTACTGGAGAAAGGCAATGGTGCATGTATGTGTTTTAAACTGTTCTGATGGTGGTAGTTCAGTACAAAATAGTTTATGCTTAAGAAACTGAAAACCTGGAATTGAGACTCAGTTACTTCTAAGCTGTTTGAATTTGAACAAGTCACTTCATTTTTCTGAGCTCAATTTGTCTACTGCAAAAGGAAAAAAGCAAACCTCTCACACAATTGCAAGAAATTCTTGTGATAAACCAAGTGGAGATACTTTGTAAACTGTTAAGTACTATATAAATGCAGGATATCATTAGTAATAAGGAGAAAAAAAACTTTTAGGGAAAAGCGATATGTTTTTCACTGACCTTCTAAAGCTTTCAAAAGCAATGTCTCTTAACCGTACAAACTGAGGAAGAAAATGGAAAAATATAATCCAACATGCTTTTTTCCTCTGGGTAGTGGGAAGTTCCGCCCCCCCCCTTTCTTATTTTCCCATAACAAACACGAATTAACTTGTGTCATTATGCTAATTTTAAAAAAATAAAAGAGGCCAAGCTCACATCAGTATAAGAAAAGGGAAGACTCTCTGGGCAGAGCTGTGGTCCCAGCCAGCACAGGGTAGTTAGTGCTGGGTTTTGCTTTGGGCCTCTTCATTCTTGCTCCAGCTCAGGGAGCAACTGAGCACATGGAAATTCTGCCCCTTCAGCATTGTCAAACACCTGTCATTGCACTTCAGCCTAATCAGCACCTTGTGATAAGTACAAACTCAGCTCAGTCAGGGCATGCTCTGGGTCACAGCCAAGAAAAATGTCAACCCTCGCTGAGGGAGCCAACAGCTAACAGTTTAGGGATTGGGTTACATTTACCAGCATGGGCATCTCAGGAGTTGTCAGCTGCTCCCCTACCAGGTGACAGCCTGGTGGCAGGGATGGGGCAGCTGACAAACAGCTAAGTGGAGTTCTCTGAAAATACCAGTGTCTGTCTGCCTCTCCCTCTCCAGGCAACTACTTTCAACTCACTCTCATCCAGGATGCCATCTTCTTTTTTTTTTTTTTGCAGTACTGGGGCTTGAACTCAGGGCCTACACCTTGAACCACTTCACCAGCCCTTTTTTGTGATGGTTTTTTTTTTGAGATAGGTTCTTGTGATCTATTTGCCTGTGCTGGCTTTGAACCATGATCCTCCTGATCTCTGCCTTCTGAGCAGCTAGGATTACAGGCATGAGCCACCAGTGCCTGGCCCCAGGATGCCATCTTTGTCCCCTCTATGCTGCTATCATTCCCCATGGTAACCCCTACACTTGACTATGCATTGTGTCCCCAGCTGGCATAGGGCTCATGGTCAGTTGTCAGGGACAGTTTGCCCCCAAATGTCCAGGCCCCAAAGTCTCATCCTCTGCCTTCCTCTGCTCAGACAATGAATATGTCACTCAGAAAGGATGGTGAGCTCTGCAGGAAGTCACTCCAGCTCCAAAAGGGCTGTCCCCAAGAGTTCCCAGGCTCTCTACTTAGCACTCCTCCTGCCCTGGCTATGGACCACCCTAGGACTTTGTTTTCTTTCCATTAGGTGCCTTCAGAGGGAGGCAGTAAGTGCCTGGCAGGCAGGAACTGTGTCTTAACATGAAATTGATACTTAATATGAATCAGTGCTATCATGATCCAAGTACCAGGATAAGCTATGTCTCCTGACTTCATAGATGAATACAGACACAGAGGTGAGGAGACTGACGTGCAGTTAGTCTACCAACTGAGTTAGTTCTACTGGGGTATTCTGTCTGAGATATCTATAGACTTGGGATTCAGCAATCATCCCAGGGACCTTTGCCTACAGGGAAAAGTACTCAAGAGCTGTGGAAGTGAGAATGGGCACAGAAGCAGACAGAAAACCTAGTCTTACCCCCACAGAAACAGATACAAAGCATCCAGAGCACCTGGATACTCATAATTACCTGGCGGGGTCAGACATCCTTCCTCAAATGGAAACTCACTGAGGACATCTTGCTCACCATTGTCCCTACGGCTTAACCCAGCATGTGGGACACATGTAAACTCAGTAAGCATTTGAGGAATGAATTGGTGAAAAGAAGTACAAACATAAGGAACTTTTCTTAAGAAATAAAAGCGAAAAGAAATTTGCAAAGAATTATGATATATTTCTTCAAGTTATCACTCCTGCATGATACGTGATCACTTTTAAAGAGGGAACAAAAAATATTGCCAACCTTCAAATCCGGATAGATCATAACGTACTAGCATATTGTCAAATGAATACCAAGTTTATTTTCAAGTAGGGTTCCTCTCCCTCCTTCCAGTCCCCCATATTGCTGAAGTACATTCTGTACTATTCAGTGATTGCACTTTCAATTTCTCAACAAGACTAAGGTGAAGCAGAACTGATATTCTGCCCTCTGCCATTGTGTATACATACATGTACCACTGTCCACAGTTAGGAAGAAGAAACAGAGTATACCTGGAGATCAACTCAAAGCAAGAGGTCCGTCTTGTTCAGTTTTGTCCCCCATTCTGACTCCCTAACAAAATCCACGTTTATCTCTGGCATGTGTAGTGCTGCTGTCAGAGGGTGCGTCCCAACCTCTGTGGCTGTGATAAACATGCAGGAAATTTGCTGCTCCACCGCGAGCAGGCAGATGGATATGTGGAAACCTTATTTGTACAGTAGTGTGAGCTTCTATAAATGCTAGTGGTTTATTTTGCTTGGTGAGCCAGTTCCTCTAAAGTCTGGCTCCTTTGCACCTCTTTGCAAAAACACTTCTTTTCTCTAGTAGAAACTTGCTTCCTCCCATGAGACCTTGAGGTCCCCCCAACGCTGAACTCTGGAGTGGGGGATGGTGTTGAATCCTTACAAGACTCCCAGTCCACTGTAAGAGATGAAGTGAGGACTCTCTGTGGAGGTGGGTGTTAAGGTAGGAAAACACTCACTCACTTATGGTCCCAGCATCATGCAGGAAATTATATCAAGTGACTTTTAAAGTTATTTTCTTCCTACAGCAGGGCTCTGTCTAAATAGGAGGTGTCTAGAGAAGAGTGCTCACTCATTCATTCAACAAGGATTTACTGAACACCTATTCTATGCTGGGCTCCGTAGGAAGCTATTAGAATATAATGGAAAAAAAGAGAAGTAAGACCTCTGTCCCAGAACTTAACAGTCTAGTGGAGCCAACAGACATAAATCAAAAATCATAAACGATTGTAAAAGTATAGCTGCAGTGAGTTCAACAAACAGTAGGTATGTGAGGCCTAAGAGCTTGTAATCAGGGCATAGGGCACACTTCGGAAGGTCAATGAGAAATTGCCTTTGCCATTACTTGGGAAAATACAGAAATAAAGAAACTTGCACTCAATTAAACTTTAAATTTAAAATATTTCAAAGCTCATAAAATCATTAATGCTCATCCTGAGAAACTGTAAAGAACTAGAAACGTTCACCAGCAAGGGACATGGTGGATGGACATCAATGTCTCTCTAACCAAGGGACTAGGAGTTCCATTACACAAGTTAGTCTGTGTTCAGTCATGGCAATGGAGAGCCATGGCTATGCAGCCAGTTTTTATAATATTTAATAATTTGTTTATCTTTAACAAATTGTTTATCTTAACAGTTTTTTTTTCATTTCTGCAGTGCTGGAGTTGAACTCAAGGCCTACACTTTCAGCCACTCCACCAGCTCTACTTTTTTTTTTTTTTATGATGGGTTATTTTTTGATAGGGTCTCTCGAACTATTTCCCTGGGCTGGCTTTGAACCATGATCCTCCTGATCTCTGCCTCCTGAGTAGCTAGGATTACAGTCATGAGTCACCAGCACCCAGCTATTTTTTTTTAAAGAGAGAGCGTTTGCGGATTAGTCTCACGGTACATTCTCTTTGGATATAAAAGGCACTGAAGGCAAGAGATAACCATAGCTAGCACGAGGTATTTGTTGAATGAGTTAATAAGAACAAACTTTAACAAGCAAAGTGTAAAGTCTGACACTTTCAGTCAAAGAAATCAATCCCACAGTATAACAAGGGACTTTTCTTGACAGATGCTCCTGGGTTAAAATTACCCACGACCTGATGCAGACACAACAGTATTATAAAACTTTCTAAATGCTAAAATAACTGAAAGTTACATCAAGAAAAGTACATGGGACTGGGAATGTAGCTCAGTGGTAGAACACTTGCCCAGCACACACAAGGCCCTGGGTTCACTAGAAATCATCCCACCCTACTCTTCACCTGCCAGGCCAACCCTAGAGGATATGGGCTCAGTTCTGGGCATGGGCATAAACTTCCAAGAGGAGCACTGATGAACTCAGAAGTATCTAGTTCTAGTGTGAAATGAAGAATGACTAGAGGAATCAAGGACGGGTAGCCTGGAGGAGACTAGACCTGAAAGCTCCTTCTAGTACTTGAAGGCCTGCTGTACATGACAGAAGCAGCCATACTGTATTGTCTTCAGGCTCTTTCCAGGGACTGCACCAGGGACTCCTGCTTGGCTCTGGGGCTCTGATCCTCCAATGCTTCCCACATGAGTCTATGGGAATGTTACAGGGTGTACTACCAAAAAAAAGGATAAAAGGATATTATGAATTGTAAAAATTTTGGGGAAAAACTGTACTAACTGTGTTCCTTACAGTAGAATGTTCTAGAAGCTTCAAATGCTAATACCAGTGAATATCCATGTTAGAGAGGTTGGTTTCCCAATCTAGTTCTCATGAAACTAGTATTCTCCTACACACCCTCACATGGGAAAACTGTTTCTACACTTGTCTCTTCTCACTGGGTTCAGCACTGATACAGGTACATGGGGGCAGTAAACCAAAGGTTTAGACAGAGTGCTTGCCTCCAAAGTTATCTTCATTCATAGAAAAGATTGTTTGATGCCATGGAGCATTTCATTTGTAAAGCATCTCACAGAATAATGTGGCATCACCCACAATTTGTGAAGTAGGACAAGACTAATCAATGGTCTTGTATTCTCTGATTAAAAACCTAGATCTTTGGGAAATCATCTAGTATTCTTTGTAGACATTGTTCAACCTCCAGTTGAACTCATCTGTCTTTTTTAATACCTTCCAATTCTATCAAGTCTATTCATTGACAAAGAGTACTAACACTCTCTCAAAGATATTAAACAGCTTAGAACTTTGAAAACATAGACAACCTCAAATCTACCACCCTAAATCTGGATTTGTATGAAAGGAAAGGAAATGAGTGTTCTGATTCATTCAACACAGCATGAATTGAAGTATAACTGCAAGGTTGAGAGATTGCTTGTGTTTGATCTTCTTTTCCTTGCTAAAGAGTGACTATAGAGTAATAAAGGACCAAGAAGACCAGTTGTTTACTTCAAAATGTTGGATAAAGAATGAAAAGAGATGTGACCTTAGACCATAGCCACGTGACTGAGTAGATGTTTGCAAGAGAAACTGAGGTAGGTAGGATGGGGTAATGGGGAAGGTCATAGAGGAGGTGGGATTTCAAATGGGCAGAGGAGAGGAGGGAGAGCACAGAAAGTGGAATCTAAGAGTCTTGGATCACTGCAGAGTATACCCCATTTTACCCTTTCGACATACTACAATGTATGCATACACCCTTGTACACAAGGATGTATTTTTAATTTCTTGATCACCTACCAACTTAGTTCCACCTTAATGCTCTCCCTTCATTTAGCCTTGATAAATCATAAGTTGTTGTTATAGAAAACTTGGGCCTATGAAAGAGAAAGATTTAATGCTGTACTAAAACCTCTTCTTAAGTAAAAACAAAAAACTGACTTGCTCCACCATATTTCTTTTTAGAAATGAAAACATTTATTAAGGTTTCCTTGGCCACCGAGGTAAGAAAAATATGTTTATCACTCTGTTTAATCCCTACAGACTTGATGACTACACTGCCAACGAGGCCCCCAAACTTCCTGTCTTAGTCGATGTGATCCTCTGAAAGTAAAATTAGCCCTCCTGGCTAAATGTGCTTGCTGCTTTTCAGATGTGTATACTTCACTGAGGTTGTTATAAATAAATTGTCTTAGATTTAGGACACACCAGCTACTGCTGCTATTTCAGGGCTCTCTTAGCAGTCTAAGTTTTCACTGGAGGTGGCAGTTGTGGGGAAGGAAATACTAGCACAGGAATGCAACTTACCAGTCCCGAAGCTCTCCTCCCCACAAAGGGACAGTTTGCTTGCATCCATCAAATTCCCAAAAAACTTCCAGCCAGTTGGGGTCTCATACAAAGCGATCTTTGTAGCATTAGCCACCCTTCAAAGGCATGAAATCAAAGTTACATCACAGCAGGACTGTGAGCAGGGCCGTGTAAGGGATGAAAAGAGCAACCGTTATTGTAATCAAGGATCCCATGTAGTACTGCTTGGAGCTAGACAGAATTCTAAGACTGGTGGAAAACATAAGAGAAAACTTATGCACAATGGGCTCTTCTATGTGGATTCAGAGGAAGGGGGAGATGGAGAAGAAGAAAGAATTAATTCAGATCACAGTTTAATATTTTAGAAGAAGCAACAGTAAAATATGCAGAACTATTTAGGTGGCTATTTAAGCCCATGTGTCTGCATAGACTGTGTCTACAATCATTCTAAAAAGAACAAAAAAATGATATTTTGATGTACTTATAATTACAGAATCATAAATTCTGGGTTTGGGAGGTCAGCATTTTGCAGAGAAGGGAAAAGGGTCCAGGTCAGAACAAGGTCACACAGGAAGGATGACTGACAGCTCATGTTCCTTTTATCTCATCAGAAGACCCCCAAAAAGTGCCCAGTGGGGTCTCCCATTCATACCAGCTATGTCTACTCTGAGCAGTGGTCCATTTTCTCCTCCAACACACCTTTTACTCCTCTCTGTATACCTTTAGACTAATGAAAACTGTTGAGTAAAGATAAGGGTTATAGCTCAGTAGAGTGTGTGCTTAGCATGTATAAGACTCTGGGTTAATCCTCAACACCCAAAATTAACAATAACAACAACAGCAAAACCTTTGAGTGACTTTTAAAAAAGATCTCTTTCCTTTTGAATAGAAGTTCCCTGAGAAGTCTCCTGCATGACTTCAGTGAGAACTGCTTTCCACAATGCTTGCCTTATTCCTAGAAAGGCCATGTAGCATTTGGATTCTAACATTGGCGGAAAATCAGGTCTAGGATTCTGAAAAGTATGAAAATACAATAAACTTTTATCTGAGTTAGGGGGTGCTTCAGTTGTGAGTCTACATGGATTATCAGTGTTTCCCCAAGTTGGAATTTCACTGCTTCTGGATCGCACAGAAGTATGTATTTCAGGGCCCACGAGGCTAACACAACAGTGTGGCCATCAACTGGCTCTCAGCCCCAGATGGAGGAGCTGGAAGCAGAAGTTCTGGGTTCTAATTGCTCTAACTCAGCTGTGGGGTCTTCAACAAGACTGTATTTCATGACTTTTTGCTTCTTCTTTAAGAATTGCTGTGAGGAACAGCTGACATGTAAAAAGCCCTATAGGAACTACCAATCACAACCTAGCTATCAGCTACCCTTTTCTTGTTAGCTGAAGTGAAGTCAGCCCTAATTCTACAACTATCTCTTCCCTAACAGGAAGACTATTGCATGGCCCTGTGGTTGGGGCCAAAGATCTGGGTTCAAATCCTGACTTCATCATTTACCAGCTGGGTGAATCACAGCAATTTACTTAGCTTCTTTGTCCTTTTGTCTTCCACCAGTAAAATGGGTTAAATACAACATTTACAAGGGATTGGCCTAAGATTTAAATGACTTAAAATAAGTATTTAGTGTCCAGGAATATTCCGTAAAGGAAATAATCAGTGAAGCTTGGCTATTATAAGCAAGCAGATTTCTACATACTACTTTTCTCCCTGGCCTTGATCTTTTATCCATTCATTCAGCAAAAATTTCCTAGGCACCCAACATGTTCTAATAGCATTTTCCATGGTCCTCATTTGCTATTTATTATTTTTTATTTTTCTGTTGCTTTAGATGTGCTCTTGTAAGCCACCTTAAATCTTCTTTCATGAAGCAATGCATAATAGAAAATATACATGTAAGCAAATACTGAATGTAATTTTTTCTGTTTTACCTATTTGAGCTTTCTTTCTGTTTTAGATTCTGGATAAATGAAGAATTATTGTGTTTGTGTGCAGATGGGAAATCCAGTTCTACTGAAACTCTAAATTACTGCAAACTGCTGCTTCACTCACTCTGCACACTGCTGACGGAAATGGAAGCTGTAGAAGGGTGTCCTGTGTACGGTGGAAGTGCCTTCCATTTATTCACTCACTAACTTTCAATCATTCATCCATTTCTAAAATGCTGCATGTGTGAGTATCCTGCTGTGTCAGGCGTGCTATGGTCAGGCAGAGTCCAGGAGGGTGAATAAGACAGTCTTTCTCTGCAGAAAGACTGAGCAGTCAATCAAGCAAATGGCAAATCAGTGCACAGTGTGGTAAGTGCCAGGGTGGAGGAAGGGCAAGGTGCAGAGGGAGTCCAGGATGGGACATCTAACCCTGAAAACACTCACCCACCTTCTCATTCAAGAAACACTTGGCACATTCTGTGCATCAGATAGATGGCTATGCTGAGAGGGGAGGAGGCTCTGCGGTCCAGCAAAGGGCATGGTGAGGCCCAGGACGATACAGATGGGAAGGCTGAGTGAATGGTGAGACCTACCGGTCCAAGGCGCCACTGGTGGGCATGCTGCGTGCGAAGCCACGGACCCCGGTCTGCTGGAAGTACGGAATGCTGAAGATGTTGGCCGCGATGACCGCCACGGAGTCCGAAGGGTTCACAAAGAACCCGTGCTTGCCCAGAATCATGTTCCGATCCTTGGGAAGAAGAGAAATCCAAAGGGAGACCTTTTAGTTAAACTTCAGAAGAACACAAACTATCTTTCATGGGAGTTTAATAAAATTTAAAACTGTTACATTTACTCATACTGGGCTTTAAATACTGGATTTTATTTTTAATGGTTTTGTTCAGTCCCACTAAACCAAAGGCACCTCCATATCCAACAGTTAAAACTGGTTTCAATTAAAGTGCAAGCACAAACTCTTGTGAGCCGAATCCTCTGTTCTCCCTCCAGAGGCTGGCTAACTTTAACCTCCTAGACCTCTTCCAAACTCTGGAACCAATCATGTCTCTCCCAAAGGAGAAGAGAGGTCTCACAGAGAAGAAATGTTGACTGTGTAAACAGTCATTGATAGGTCTACCAGACATCCATTGAGGAACAAAGGCAGATTTCTTCAAGGAAGTGTTTCTAAATCATGGTCCTTTCATTTGGTTCTGGACACAACAAAATATACTGTCACCTTCACAGCTTCTGAGATGCCTGATACACACTTACACCCAAGGAACTGAGAGTGAGGAGAAAAATCCCAGCATGCACTGCACCAAAAAGATGTATTGCAAAATAATGTCTACTATGAACTACTTTAATTTACCCAAATTTTGATACTGGAAAAATTATTTTTCAGGAAATAGTTTTTAGAACAACAGCAACGAAAAAGATAAAAATTCAATGTAACGAACATATAGAGAACCTACTATCTGTAAGACACCAGGGCTACGAACCTGACTAAGACACATTTCTTCCTCGTTTATACCTGTAAACAACTTATTTAGAATAGCTTTAATTGTAGAGAAAGAATAAAATATAATTCTCTCAAGTTAATCTTCATAGAAGCTATAAGTTATATTTTCATCATTTGGCTAACGTGAACAGATGAATGGGTATATGATAAAATCACAGCCTTTTCCAGAGGTTAAATAATCAGTCAGCTGCTGGTTAGGACAGGTATGTGGAACTCGTCCCCTTGTGAAGTACCAGTCACATCGTAACCGGGATCTAATTAACCCTGCCACTCTCAGCAAGCATGAATGGCTGAAATCAAATACATGAGTTACGTTTCAAAGATCTTTACCTCTTTCTGTTCAAGAAAGGTCTTTGAATAATTTAGTTCTGACCTCAAGTTCCATGCAGGATCCTTGACAGTTGTTCACCTGGCTCCCAGGGCCTGGCAGAAATACCCATTTTTTCCCCCCCTCTACAAGGCCCAGTCTTCATGAGAATTCATTCAAAGGCACTGTACTCACCCCATCTCCATCAAAGGCGGCCCCAAAATCATGCTCTCCTGACTTCATGGTCTCTACCAGGTCAGCCGCGTAGGTGAGGTTGGGGTCAGGATGGTGGCCCCCAAAGTCCTCCAGGGGAACACAGTTAACTGCTGAGTTTGCAGGAGCACCAAGTTCTTCACAGAGGATCTTCTTCACATAGGGGCCCACAACTATATCAAGTACAAAATCAAAGCAGGAAGAATCAGAAAATAAAACATTAAGACATGAGGACTGAACAGACATACTCTGGGAAGAGGAATGGAAGAACAACCGTGGGAACTGCAAACCGTGCTGAAGGGGCTGAGGCTGAGGTGGATCTGACTGGTGTGGAAGGGTCTACACAAAGCACTAGTGAGAGGTTAGATCAGGAGCGATGGGGCCACAAGGGAAAGAGTGGGAAAAGGGAAGGGAACCACTGCTATGAAGGCCCTTTTGCACAACTATACCAGGTGTTTCACAACCATTTTCTCATTTGGGCTTTCAAAAAATCCCTTAGGATTGTACAGCTTAGGGCTTAAGAGCTGGACTTTGGATTAGGTGATCTAGGTTCAAATCCCTGTTTTGTTAACTGCACAACTTTGGAAAAGTTACTTAATTCCCCTGTACCTCAATCTCATCAACCTGCAGAGGACCTTAACAGTACCTACCACAAGTACTGATGGGAGGATTACATATGTTAATAAACATGAAGGGGTGAGAACAATACCTGGCACCTATGTTCCAAACATTCAAACTGTTATTCTCACTTCCAGTTATAGATAAGAAAACAGAGTTTATTCGGCCAGGCATGGTGGTTCACGACTGTATTCCCAGTTACTGGAGAGGGAGCGATCAGGAAGACTGCAGTTCAAGGTCAGCCAAACAAGCTGGACATGGTGGGGTGCACATTTAAAATCTAGCTATATGGGAGGTGTAGGTGGGAGGATCTTGGTCCAAGACTGGCCCTTGGCAAAAGTCTGAGATCCTGTCCCAAAAAAACTAACTACAGACAAAAAAAAAAAAAAAAAAAAAAAAAGGCTGGGAGTGGGATTCAAGTGGGTAGAGCACCTGTCTAGCAAATACAAGTGCAAGGCCCTAAGTTCAAACTCCAGTATTGCCAAAATAAAAAGAAAGAAAGAAAGAAGAAAACAGAGTTTTAGAATTGAAGATTTGCCCAAATCTACACAGCAGGAAGCTGGGATTAAAGCTTGTATCTTTCTACTATATCAAACTACTAACAAACAAAGCCCAGTAACAACAATAAATAATAAGAAACCAATCACGCATTTACAGTGATGGTCTGTGAAACTACCAGGAATATTCATCTCTAAAATGTTGAGAATGCTTCCTTGCTCTCATTATGGAAGATACTAGACCCAACACAGAGAGAACAGTACAGAATGTGTGTCTCCCATTAGGGTCACATGTTAAGTAACCTATCGACACGCTACGGAATGAGCTGAGAGGAGGAGGAACACTGAAAGGACTGGAGGAAAGCCACCTCCTCACAGCTTCTCCTACTCAGCATCCCACCATGCACCCCCCTCTCAAGCCAGCCCAGCCTCCTCTATTTTGAGGTCTTCATGCCTTCACTACAGCCATTCCCTCGGCAGGAATGACCATTGCTTGATGTTCTACCACCCTAGGTCGTTCTTTCACAAAAGCTGAGTTGGCTGTCACTTCTTCCAGGAAATCTTTTTTGATGCCCCAGTCACCCTGAAGAGAATGCTTGAAAATCTATCTAGGCCTCGATTTATTGGCCTGGTTAGTTTGATCCCCCGTCATCTCCCCAGACACCACAGTCTTCGAAGGAAGTTGCCTGCAAGTCCCCGCTTGTTCCTCAAACCGGCACATATGACGTGGCTCAGATACATGTCTGTTGGTTGGTTTAAGAAGATGGAAGCCGTCTGTATGAGCAAGGAAGTAGACCCACTTTGTGAGACTCCAGATGGCCAGTGAGGATCCAAGGAGAGAAGTTCCAGGAACCCCCAGCCCACTAGGAGATTTCCTAACTGTGGTGTGAATTCTAACAGGAGACCAATTCTTCCCCAACCAGGCAGACAAGTGCGTGGATTCCACACAAGGGAGAATCCTTGCCACCTAGAGATTCTAAAATTTTAAATTATCGCAAAACAATAATTCTTATATTCTGACATGTGAGAAAAACCCACAGTTCTGATTCATAGTCTTGGCTACTGTCTCTACACCAATAGAGACAGTAGAGACCCACAGAGGAAAATGAGGGGGAGAGCTACATCCTGTTGTTCCCGAATTTAATCCTCAGCTTGCTCTCCCCCTCATTTAAAAGAAGGGAGTGTACGGGTGTGTGGGACTCAGGAGCATGCTAGTCACAGCTAGCAAATGGTCACCCATCAGACATTCATGGTGGCGCACATGACGGGGGCGTACACAACACATGCATGTGGTTCAAGACCTGATGCTTAATGTGGGAACACTGACCTTACCGTGATAGGTTTTTATTTGTGTGAAACTTGCTCTGATTGCAAAACAACTCTGTTTAAGCCATCAGAGTCTTGGGAAGCCTGTTGTGAAGGCACATGACACACCCCAGAGAGAGCAGCTCCGCAGCTCTGAGAGAAGAGAATGGAAGAGCCATGAGTCTGTACCTCCATGCATGGCATCTATCCGGACCTTTAGTCGGTTTGGAGAAGAAAGGAGCTCTTTCAGTGCATTGAAATCAAAGATGTTTCTCAGCATCGTGGCATATGCTTCCACCGAATCCACGATTTCCACTGTGAGAAGGAGCAGTGTCCAGAGGAGGAAGAATGAAATGTGATTAGAATCACTCCACTCGGCAATGACCGCATTGCTGTAAACCCGCCACAACCATTTCAAAAGGACAACTACTGAGCAGTTCTGACGTGAAAGGCTGGTAAACAACATCTTATTCAAGACGAAAGATTTTTCTTAGGGGGAAAAGTTCTTTAGTCCTGTTTTATAGATGAGGAAGGTTAAGGTCTGAAGATTAAGGAACGGACCTCCACAGCCGGGGCAGGACACACCTGGGGTTTTCAACAGAGGCATGTATAGAAGCTGCTCTGCTGCCCCCCTGCCTCCCCATGCATCCTCAGGACAGGTTATTTTGGTGTCACAAGTAACAGAAAAGGTAATGTCTACTTTCACTTTTTTCCCTCTTTTTCCAGGTCCATTACCATCGAGACTTAGTGGTAGAGGACTGGAGGTGCGGCTCAAGCAGTATGAGGCCAGCTTTGTCAGCTCAAAGCCCTGAGTTTAAACCCTATCCCACCAAAAAAATAAAAAGGATTTAATGGTATCGGCTGGAGACATGATTCAAGTAGTAGAGGCACTGACAGAGCCTTGAGATCATATCTCAGTACCACCACCACCACCACCAAAAAAAAAAAAAAAAAAACCAGGAAGAAGGTTTTCTTTAAAGAATCATTTTTTGCATGCACTGTTAATAGAATAAAAGAAATGTAAGAACTTAGTATTGTCCTCATTACTGGATTTTTCAGGGCTTCTGAACATTTTCAACAACTAAGTTCAAACAAAATATGTGCTCCCTAAAGTGGCAGTGCAGAGGAAAGAGCATGTGTTAGGGAAAAGTCAAAATGCAAGTTACATTGCCAGCCATCTCATCGTCATTTTATTAATGCGAATAAAGTTGTAAACATTCCTTTCATCAATTATTGCAATACCTTGATATTCAACAACAAAATGTTAGTTAACGACAGCTGCCTTGGAAAGAGTTTCAATGTAGCCCAAACAACTGATTTTACTGAATATTGGGGCAGGAAAAAAAATGGAAAGCCCAGACTTGGGAATCATTCACACTGAGTTTGAATCCTGTTTTTAGCATTCACTATGTGGCCATGAATATATTACTTAACCTCTCTCAGCCTTTTCTTCCTCCTCTGTAAATAGTGATCACTGATTGTGCTGCCCTTACAGGGATACTGTGAGAATAAAATGGAGTAACACATGGAAAGAGCTTGGCACACAGCAAGAACTCAACCAGAGTAATCTTAGAGATCTCCTAGTCAAGGGTGTTTGGTTTACCTCTGTGGAAACAGAGGTCTACGGTGTTGGGAATGAGTGGCCTGATGTCACATAGCTCATCACTGGCAAAGCCCAGAGAGCCTAATTTCTAAACTCCCAAACCTAATTCTAGACCTACTAGTTTATTAATGCACTCAAAGCTCAGTGATCACCATCTTTCCAAAGATGAAGACCCACTTTAATAAAAATGAAGGGAAAAACTGCTGAAGCTGGAAACAAGAATGAGCAGGAAGAGGAAGAAAAGTAGTCATGCCTGTGAAGGGCTTGAACTTGTTTTCCAGGTCAAACTGCTGCTTCCCCAGGACACCGAGGTCTACCTTCAGGTCAGGGCAAATTGCATATTCCTCAATAGTCTTGCTGATTTGGAAAATTTTATCAGTTATTGCTTCTGGAGCAGGGCCTGGAAATCAAACAGCAAACAGTGGGTCATTTGTGCAGATCACATGAAAATACAAAGAATCCAAAGTGCAGTGATTCCTCTTCCCTTGTACATTGACCGTTGCATCATTCAGGCAGCAGAGTATCAGGATTTTCTAAGAGAAAATATCCTGATAGTGACAATTCATGCTGGTCATATTCAGTACAACACAATGAGAAGCATTTCACTTTCCCCAAAAGGAAGCAAAGTCCCTTCTTGAAAGGGTGAGAAGGAGAACCTGGCCTTGAAGGCTTCAGGTACTGGCTTAATCAATGATATAGAAAATTACCTACTCTCAAGACAACAGCAAACTCACCTCCATTAGAAATATTGAATTTGATTCCAAAATCTCCATTAGGCCCTCCTGGGTTGTGGCTGGCTGTCAGAATGATCCCACCAATGGCTTTGATTTTTCTAATGATGCAGGAGACAGCAGGGGTGGACAGGATTCCATTCTGTCCAATAACCAAGCGACCAATCTATGAGAAGAAATTCAGAAAACACAGCTTAACATCCATAAATCCAGAGCTACCACACAGAAATGCCAGAATAGCAAGAAAAAGGACAAAGAAAATGCTGTTGGACCAGAAAAGCTTTTCTTTAGAGAACATCTATATCTTGGATGTCTCCACCACATTACTGAAATGGAATCAGCACTGGTGAACACAGACATTCCTTCACAGGGCTTTTGGGACTTTGTAGTTTCAGAATAGTGTGTGGTCTGGGGTGTTGGAAGGTGCTAGCAAGAAAACATAGTATATTCACAACACAGCCTTTCCAGAGCAGGTTCCTAATTTGGATATACTGAAAGAGTGTGAGAAAGACCACATTTTTACTCAACTCAGTCATATTTTGAATCCACAATGAGAAAAAGGATATAGGTTTGACTAGTCAAAGGGACTCGACCCAAAGAGAAGGCTTTTGCAATGCAAGATCTTAAGAGGTAAACTGACCAAACGTTATATGAAGAATAATATAAAATGTACCTTATAAATTTATCTTTCCAGTCAAGCTTATATTTTTCATGTAGTAGAATTTTTCAAAACAGGATTCACCTACTTATGTTAGGGTATGTCTAGATTACTTCTTGGGCCTAGGACAAGAATGTGGGAAGTGATTACTGAATAAGCCAGTCAGAACCACCTACATGAAAAGGCTATACTTTTCTCTAGCTCTCACAGATGGTATTAGCCTGCCTCTTAAATCTTCCTTTGCTAAAATAATAGCAATTTACATCTGTTTCAACATGACCCAAGTTGGAAAAGAAGTTTTGTCAGTTCCTCTGACATACTTGGAGAAGATGGGACTGTTACATTAAAAATTTATAGTATGTTTGTACCTTTCCTCCATTCTCCTTTATGAGACAAAAAAGGGAGAAGAATTTAATTTTTTTCCTTAGTTATTTCTTTAGGCACCATGCAATCTAAATATGGAAGAAATGATTTGATGGTGGAACATGTGTTTCTAAAGTGTAAGATGCCATAAGAGAGCTGGGCATCGTAGTGCACATCTGTAATCCAAGCTAGAGGTAGAGGAAGGATAATCACAAGTTTGAACCCAGCTAGGCAAAGGTGACAGCAAGATCCTGTCTCAAAAACAAAATAAAAACAAAAGAACCAGGGGTATAGCTTAAGTGGCAGAATGCTTGCCTAGCATGCACAAGGCCTTGGTTTCAACCACAGCACTGAAAAACAAACAAACAAACAAAAAAAAAACATAAGCTATCTGGACATCCTGGAGAATATTTTTCTGGGACTGTTAACTTTGTCATTATCTCCACCACCACCATAAGTCACTAAAAACTTGACTTCCTTATAATTCCTCCTTTCCCAACTACCAAAATTCTCCTGGAAGCAGCTGGTTCATTTTCATCATTTCTTGGCTCTCTGATATCTATCTCTGAACAGTTTTTGTTGTAGTTGCCCTAATGTATTTGTTTTATCCTTCCTCCCCCAGGAAGAGGTACTCACCAGGATAAGAGCTATCAGAGGCTCCATTTTAGAATTAGGGAATATACAGATGATACAGAATTGATGCTGATGATCATTACTGAGTACCTACTGAGTCTCTTCCTCCATTTGGTCCTCCCAAGTACCATCGCCAGAGTTGCTATGATCTTCCCATTCCTTCATTCTTATGTCCATTCAACATCAATAGTAGTTAGCACTCATGGAAGGGTACTACGGCCAGTGTTGGCATAGATGACATGACAAGGTCACACAGCAAGTTAGTCATGGCTGGGGAAGGCATTGAAACCTCCTGGCCCTGTACAGTGGGAATGGTGACATCTAACCTTTCCAGGAGTTTCCTTGGGTGCTGGTGAAAAGAATAAAGGCCTAAAGAGTAGAAAGTTTCAGAATTGTGTAAGTGGAGCTTAGGGGTGGCCATTTAATCAACCAAAGTAGCTGCTAGGGTTATCTAGAAATTGTGTTGCACATTGAGCAAACCAGCTTTTACTTAGTTTTTGTATGTAAGGAAGGAAACGCTGATGACTATTCTGCTACATCACCCAAGTCACCTCTTCATTCTACCATTCCTTGTGGTGAGACTTGTAGTCAGAAATGGTCCCAGGCTAAAGGAATTATGCATGTCCTAAAAGTAAGAAGGAAAGCTGAGAAACAGAAACAAGGAAAGTCCATGGTCACTTTTCTCTCAAGCCCAAAAAGAGGTACATTTGGCCAACATTCTTCCCTTCTACAGCAGACTCTTCCTTTGAATCACCCTCAGAATATAAGGGAGATACTATTTTATTACCCTTCTTCTCTTAAAGAGAAGACCATTATAAAAGCTCCTAACAGTCTCCCTCCTGACCCTTTCTTGCTCTATCAGGCTGAATCCATCCCACCTACTTTATAAATCCACACAGTTCTTTCTAATCACCATAACTCTGTGTCCCTTCTCTACTCAAAAATCTTTCTGTACTACATGATCCGGAAATTCCACTTCCAGGTCGAACCCTAAGGAACTGAAAGCAGGTCTCAGACAATTCTGTACCAACATTATCAGCAATATTACTCCCAATGGCCAAAAGAGGAACAGTCCAAATATCTTTCATCAGGTGAAGAGATAAAAAAAAATGTTGCACAGATACAAAAAGGAATATTGCCCAGTCTTAAAACCAAAGGAAATCAGATTGGAGGATGTTATAGAGTGAGTGAGTGAGAACATGAATTGGAGATAAAGTAGATTTAAGAAAAGAAGGATCTAGCCAGGCACTGGTGGCTCACACCTATACTAGTTACTCAGGAGGCAGAGATCAGGAAGATCACGGTTCAAAGCCAACCTCGGCAAATAGTTCACAAGACCCTAGCTTGAAAAAACCTATCACAAAATAGGTTGGTGGAGTGGCTCAAGGTGTAGGCCCTGAGTTCAAACCCGAGTCCACAAAAAAAGAAAAGAAGAATCTGGGAAATACCAAAAGAGGACCATCTGGAAAGTTCAATACAATAATAAAAATGGAAACAGATGCATAATCGCTCAAAAAAAAAAGAAAAAAGAAAAGAAGGAAATCTTATCACATGCTACAATGTGGATGAAACTTGAGCACTTTATGCCAAGTGAAATTAGATAGTCACAAAAAGACAAATAGCATCCAATTCCACTTACACGAGGCATCTAAACAGTCAACTCATAGAAACAGAAAGGAGCATGGTGACTCAGGGGTTAATGGGGAGCTGTTGTTCAGTGGGTACAGAGTTTCAGTTTGGCAAGATGAAACATGCTATAGAACGTTGTGTGACACCTATGAGTACAGTTAACACTACTGAACTGTGTAGTTAAAATAGCTAATGTGGCAAATTATGTTTTTACTATAGTTAAATTTTTTTTAAATTGGTTACTCTATTGAAAGAAGTCATTGCTATCTACAGATATAAATGTGTTTGGAAGGACTTATATGGGGGTAAATATTCTTTTAAAACTCAAAAATAAGGGAATAAAATTCTGACCCCTGCTCCAACATTGATGAAGCTTGAAGATGCTGTACTAAAGTGAAATAAACTAGGTACAACAGGACAAGTATTGGGCAATACCACTTATGTGAGGGACCTAGAATAGGCAAATCCATACAGACAGAAAGTAGAATTGAGCTTGCCAAAGGCAGGAGGGAGGGATAATGGGGAGTGACTATTTAATAGGTATGGTGTTTCTGTTTGTGATGATGAAAGAATTCTGGTGATAGATAGCGCTGAAGGTTGCACAGCATTGTAAATATAATGAACGCCACTGAAAATGGTTAAAATGATAAATCCAATGTTATGTGTAGATTACCTTCCTGACTCCCAAGTTCGAGGCAGTTCCCCAAGCCTGGCAATGGCCTCTGTCACTTCCCTCCTCTCCCACCACTGCCTTCCTCATAACTCATGTGTTACCACCAAAATGGGAACCTCATTGCTGGTTAAACTTTTCTAGTCAAGCATAGCAGGGAGCAAAGTTTTACATTTTCCTCTTCATTGGAAAAATGCCATTTTCTTGTGCTTCATTAAGAAAAAAACCCAAAAAACAAGCTCCATTTTCTTTGTCTTGCTAGTCACACACATGCTAGTCTCTCACCTCTCAGTGTTCTTTCAAAGTCAGAACTCTAGGAACAGAGTGAGACACCAATATTCTAAATGGAGCCTACCAATGTCTTACTTTGCACATTAAAATGTCTTATAAAAGTAGCTAGCTCTATGTAAATAAGAATAAAGAGAAACTTCTAATGGAGGCTAATTATACTCTATACCCCATCAATGTATCAGATAAAAGTACACTAAAGGAGGAAAAATGAAATGTTCTCCATTTCATTCACTAGGCAGAAAAGTCGCCCACAACTGCACAAGAGAGAGTAGGTATTGAAAAAAGTGAAGAAACATTGCTTTTGCCAAAATTTGTAGCTATAATTAATCTTTTTTTAGATTTCCTCCTGCAGTCCTACCCACAACACAAGGGATATTAATATAGTCAGAATGCAGGCTATGTTAGAAAGAGAAGAAACCAAATCTTTTAGAATTTCAAAGGTTTTTTCAGATTATGTGCCTTATCAGTCCACTAAATGTTTTAAGTAACTCAGTTGGCCAGCGTGACCACTTTAAATGCAACCCTATTTTTAATAAGGAATGTCCTTGAAAATATTGCTTGGACTGCCACAGCCCTAACAAACAGGCAGTTACCATACTTCATCAATTATTATCACTGAAATACATTATTTAGCAAACCTTCAGAGAATAAATGTGAGAAAGTCTATAGGATCTGCTGTAATTACCTCTTCCACATCCGTCAGGTCCACACAAAAATGAAATGGAGCCAAATACATCACAGCAAAGGGGACAGTGTACTAAATCCACTCAGCAGTCCAGATACATGCAGAGAGATAATGTCCCATTTGTCCCCCTCGAAAGATTAAAAGCCTCTTAATACTGTTCCCTGTGCAGCTCTCCTTAAAGATGAAATTTACAGCATGTCACATTTTATCTTAAAAATGTGTATGTTTCATAATAATTTCATATTTGAGTGCTTTATCAGCATTGTTTTACATGAGAGGCATTCAGATTGTAAAACCAACTATCGAAAAAAAAAACTATCGCAGACAACAGAATCTATAAACACTTTGAACTTTAGTCTGGTGGTGGTTTCTTTTTTAATTTTATTTTTTTCAAACATCTTCTTGGTGTATTTATTAAAAGACTAAAGAATGAGCACATTTGGCTCCAATGCTAAATTTTAGGTTCTCGGAACCAGAACCTCTTCCAGAAAAGAAAAACGACACTTAAATTTTACAGGTACCAAAGGACTGTGTGCTTCAAATGCTTGCTAGGCTTATAAAACTCTAACAAGACATCATTGGTCCCACACAGGAATCTGCAGAGCAAAACCACAATGCCCCATGCACCTTCTATAATTCAGTGTGCTGTGCAAATTGTTAGGTTATCAAGATCAATGCTTTCTGGTGCAATATGCCTTCTGATTTGCTTAATCCAGCCAACATGGTTTTCACGATGCAGAGCTTAAGCAGAGCCTACTTTCTATCACAGTCTTACAGGAGTTATTATCTCTACCCTGCTGCACAAATTCACCACACACAGGGCTTCTTTGTGTCCAGGGTCATTATAAGCAGATCCCTCTGTAACAGATCCTCTTGGAAGGCTCGCACCTACCATTTTCCAATCACCTCCTAGCATTCTGCATGACTATCAGCATCCCTCAACAAGAGCATGCCCTGGCTTTTGTTTTCCTGTTTGACAAGTGACTGAACAAGGAAGCCACTGAAAGCACACCAAATCCTCCTCTCATCACCTTTCATAACAGCCTTCTTAAACAGGATAGGGCATCCTCAGAAGCTAGTTATAATGTAGACTCAAAAGCTTAAGCCAGGAGTGTGCTTTCAATGTCTGAAAAGCAACAAGTACTTTCCAAACAACACAGACAGAACACAACACAGATGAAGCTGACCTTACGTTCCCAGATCCCAAAGCGACTACTGTAATTCTGGAATATTTTCACAACATGAAATCTAAATGGGTGTTAGTAGAATTGAGGTGTAGACCACATATACATCTTTGTGCATTTGCATATTTCTGCGTGATTAAGAGGTTATTTGGGTAGCCAGAGACGTGACAACACTTATCGGATACCAACCCCATTGGCAGCAGCCATCTGCACTATTGTCTCTATCGCTGATTTATTAAAATACCGCCCATCTCCACCGACCACCAGTGATGATCCCTGGCGATCTTTTAGGTCTATGGAAAAGAATATACTCTGGATGAAATTCTCCAGATAGCATGGCTTTGTCTCAAAATAATAGGTTTTCTTTCGTAATCCACTCGTTCCTGGTTTCTGGTCGTTGTAGGGAGCTGTAGCAAAAGTCAACAGAGGGAGAGGACCTTCTTCTATTTTTCTATATGTCCCAGAAATCCATTCTTCAAAATCACTCATCTTTGATTTCCACCACTTGCTTAGTGAGGGTATCCAGAATGCAGTTGAGGGTCCCCAAAATGCCTGTTCAACCTGAAGCTACCACCATGTCACCTGCGTAACTAACACAGACGTTTTGTCTGGATGATCACTCTCAATGAGATTAATTCCGTAGCGTTGTCGTCCCTAGAGGGAAGTTTGAGCCACACACCCCCACACAGCCACACACTAAGCAGATCTTCAAAGTTGTTTTCACAAGGATACTTCTGCCCACATAACCCAGCCAGATACCCTTCAATTATTTTTGCCTCTTTCCCTGTTTGGGTAGAGGGAGCTCCAGAGTGCTGCCTGCAGCAGACTTCAGTTATAGACAGACACCAGAGGCTGCCAGACTCCACTCTTGGAGCCAGGGGAGGACGAGCAACTGCAGTCTCAAGAAACAGGTTAATGAACAAGACACCTGGCACGGTTCTCACTGCTCCTGACAGCCTCTGGGCATCCATCACTGAGAAAGCCATCTGTAGATAAAGTTGCTCTGTGCCACCTAGCAAGTTAAAGGTCAAGCTTAAAATGGAAGTGAGGGATCTCGGTTACCTCTGGTTCCCTTATTTCACTATCATTTTGATACCCAAAGGATTTTTATTTTTACTTCTCACATGCAATCTCAGGTGGAAGAGGGAGTAATTATCTAACAAAACAGATTTATTCATTGGCCACCAAGATTTTAACAAAATAGGGCAGAGAATACTGCTCACGGGCATTTGACCAGCATGTACAAAGCCCAGGGGTCAATCACCAGCACTTAAAAACAAAGAATTCAACACATACTCTTCAGTCCTAGAAGAGAAATATGTGCTGAATGCCCACAGCCTGGTCATTTCCTCAAAATTTACAGAACAGTGATGATAGGATCCACCAAATCCTTGAAGGATGCAAGAACAGGGAGGAAAAGTATGTTTTGTGGGTGCATGAGGTTAGATAAAGTTATTATTTAGAAAAATAGCAGGAGCATAAGATTAATTTTTAAAACTGTTCTCAGTTGTGTATAGACTTGACTTTTACAACTGATCTTAGCCAATAGGCTGAGAAAAGTGAAGTAAGACTTCACTTTTAAGAAAACATTTTTAGTGAAGCAGTTTATCTTTTGCATTTGAAGAACCAAAAATGTTTAAAGACATTTTGTCTGAATAAATTTATTTTTTCCCACTTATTTATTTTTATTATCAGATAATTATTGTTGTACTGGGGGTACACTGTGACGTTTGCAGAAGTCCTTACAATAGATCATTGTTAAATTCACCCCTCCGTCATTCTTTGAACATCCAATCCCATTTGATCCATGGGACTTTTTCTTTCAGTGGTATAAAGGTTTGAATCCAGGATTTCACACTTACTAGACAGGCACTCTACCCCTTGAGTCATGCCTCTAGCCCTTTTTCACTCTATATTTGTAGACAGGATCTTGCTTTTTGCCCAGGCTGGCCTGGACTGCAATCCTGCTATTTTAAGCTTCCCACTGTAGCTGGGATGACAGGCCCATGCTACCATGCCCAGCTTTTTCTTGAGATGGGGTCTCACATTTTTTTTTTCTTTGCCTGGGCTGGCCTGAAACTATGATTCTTCTGATCTCAGCCTCCCAAAACGCTTGGGATGACAGGCTCACACACCACCATATCTAGCTATTGGTTGACATGGGGGGGCGGTCTTCCAAGCTTTTTGCCCAGACTGGCCTCAAACCATGATTTTTTTCTGATCTCAGCCCTCCAAGTGGCTAAGGTTACAGACGTGAGCCTCTGGCATCCAGCCAAGATTTTTCTCAGTAATCTATTTAAATATGTACATATGTGTTCTTTACTTGGTTCATCAGAAATTGCCATTTAAGAAGCTCTGTTAAGCCAGGTGCTGGGGGCTCATGCCTGTCATTCCAGCTACACAGGAGGCCAAGATTGGGAGAATAGCGTTCTAGGTGAGTCCTGGGGAAAAAAGTTTGTGACACCCCATCTCAACAGAAAAACAAAACACTGGTATAGTGGCATGTACCTCTCATTCCAGCCATGATGGGAAGCATAAAATAGGAGGATCACAGTCCAGGCCTGTCTGAGAGAAAAATGAGACCCTAGGTCAAACGTAACCAGAAGACTGGGGATGTAGCTCAGGAGCAGAGTGCTTGCCTCACATGTGTGGGCCCTGGAATCGATCCCCTGGCACCATGTAAAACAGAAAAAAAGGTAATCAGAGCAAAAAGGGCTGGAGGCATGGCTCAAGTGGTAGAGCACACCTGCCTAGCAAGCATGAAACCCTGAGTTCAAGCCCCACTTTAAAAACAAAAAAGTTGTGCTGTCAAAGTTCTGAACTTATTAAGGATACTTAATAAGTAAACCAGGACTAGTCACACCGCATGTTTCAGGAGTCTGACATGCGCGGAAAAGTCAAGGTTGTCAAGGGACTAGGAGTCATCCCTGAAAACCCAAATCTGTGTATTTTTCTTCTAGCACATCCAGCAAGGTCTGCTATAGACAGGCTCTGGGGGCAGCTGACTGCCCTGTCTGACCCAGGAATGGCCAGTAGAGCTGGCCATTGGGGCCCTGGTTGTTAGCAGGCTACTTGCAAGGGCGCCTGGTCCCCTTCAAATGACAAATGGCCCATGTGCAGGGAATACCTCAAGATGTAGAAACAACCCACAAGACACAACTATCCAGGCAAAAATCAGTTGGCCAAAAAAACAACTTCTCTTTATAGCTTAAATTAGGTTTTAATGGTAAAACTCTTTTCAAATGAATCTTAAAAGCAAGCTTACTTTATTAATGGCTACATACCCACTGTTTTTCAACTTACTACAAATGTATTTTTTAATTCATATTTTTGAAGTTTTGTGCTAAGTTTCCTTTGGTTTTATATATGCTTGCAAATTAGGTCATCATATGTGTCTTGACGTAGGCAATAAGAGATTTGGATTCATGAAACATTACTCTAAAAATCTCTTCATTGGAAAAACAGGGCATCCAACCGTGTAATTGGAAGTTTTCTTAAGAAGAACTCAAAATCCTAGGGGAGAACTCAGGGGCACCTGGGCACAAGTGGGCTCCAACAACCTCCACCGAAGCTTCTCCGCCCACTTGTGTGTCACATTCTAGCATGTTCTGTGCTGGTGGGCTGCCACTCTCAGATGAAGCTCTTGCTGAAGCTGGAACTAGGACAGCATCACTTTGCCTGGTGTTTGTCAATATGTAAAATGAAACCAGAACACAATCCTCACTGTAGAAAAGCTTCTATTCTAGAAATGGGCCTGAATCACAATTTTATGGACACTATAGAACTCAACTCCATATAAAAATATTACCAGAAGCAGCAATGTTAGATGGACTGTGAAGTATGGTAAAAAAGAAGCAGCATTAAGAACATTAAGCTTCCTGAGACGCTCGGACTAAGTGGGGCAGCTATTAAGAAACTCATTTGTTTTAGCTCTCCAGCAAAGGTTGAACTTCATCTTCAGAAATGTTACTGTCGAGCATAGCGAGCCCAATTTGGCCTACTGATGAGTCTGCATTGCCAGTACTCCTTCACGATGACACAAATTACATTTTAACTATATGGGGGCTTTAAGGATTACTCCCTTCAGACAAGGAACTTTCATACTGGTCTCGGGTCCAATCAATTTCACAATGCCAGCGTTATGAACCCCTTTACCCCGGCCCTGCAAAGATAGGGCTCCCATTCTCACCAGCAAGAACACCTTCCTAGGAGATGCAGCAGGAGCTATAGGCTTGCGAGTCCTTTCTACTTTTTCCTCACTCCCTTCCTTTATTTGCAGCAACAAATATTTGTTATGTCCCAGGCCCCATATGGGGGCTGAACCCAGGATCTGAGTGCATTGACCTCGTTACCCCCAAGAGATGTGTTTTAGAAATGTCATGGGAGTGAGCATAAAGGAAGGTAACCCTATCTCTGGGCACAAGCACTAGAAAGAACGCTAATAATTTGGCTAAAAGCAGCGGGGGTATCAGACTTCGTCGCCCTTGTGATGGCCTTGGGTACTAGCCCCTGAGTATTTACAGTGTTTGTCCACAGTAATATGAACACTGTCATCGTTTCTCCAGCAGCCCAGGCCAGGCAACGCAGTATATGAAAAGAACACAGGTTTAGAAGCCAGACACAATGAAAGCCTAAACCTTTGACTCTAAAAGCTATGAGAGGTACAGGTCTTGAACAATTCAACAGAACTCAGCCTGCAAAATGGGCCTAGCTCTCAATGAAAACAGGTAACAACACGACAACACTTAGTACTGTATGTGACACACACAGACTGTCGGTAAATGTCAGTCCCTCACCCCTCCACGCCTCAGTTTCTTCAGTTCTCAAGTGGGGTCCTAACTCCTGCCTTACGAAGCTTGGGAGAAGATTATTACCTCACCGAGTGTCTAGACAAGGCTTTGTCAACTAGAAAATGCAGTAAAGGTGTGGTTTATGAGTTTTACACATTCTGAGTGGGAGTGGGCACAGAAACAAAGGTGGGTGGTCCTTTGTTTTCAAGAAATTCACATCAGAAAGGAACCATCACAGTGTGGTGGCCTGAGTACTGTCGTGGCAGTGCATTTGCAGAGCTCTGGCTCCTGAGAGGTTGCAGCGACAGAGATGAGACCAGAGAAACAACTGGGGAAAGACCATGGAGTCACATGTGCCATGCTAAGGTTTGTTTTGTAGGCACCAGGGAACTACAGAAATATTTAAGCAGGAAGGACATAAACCAGCAAGGTTTTTGGAAAGTTGAGTGGCTGGCAGTGCACTGAATAGCTTGAAGGAGACTGGAAAACAGATTAGCCTGGGCTGGGGAAAAGCATTCCTTCCTTAGCTGGGCTGGCCTTGAGGGTCCTGGGCAAGGACCCACACAGCACTGTTCCTCTGCAGGCCTCCTGTATACAACTTCACCTTTGAGTCTGGGCCTTTCTGAGTGCTATTGTTCTCCAAAACATGAAGAGACTTTTTTTTTTTTTTGGTGCTGGGATCGGACCCAGGGCCTTGCGCATGCTAGGCAAGCGCTGTGCCACCAAGCTACATCCCAGCCCCATGAAGAGACTTCTGGAACAGCCTCTTTCATCTGAACCCGGCACCATGCAGTGTCTTCTACTCACTCCTCTCTCTGGCCCCTATCCTACCCTACAAAAGTGGGCTCCTGGGGCCATGATTCCACTGTGAGACCTGGATTCCAGGGGTGGACACCTGGCCAAAGCTGGCCTACTCCTATTTTCTGTTCTTGGAATCTAAAACTGGGACTCAAAAGTACACTAGTCAGACTCAGTTAACCCTGGAACCAGGAAGACGGGTAAAGATGGGGAAAGAACAGTTGTGTCATAAGCATAGCCATAG